GCTAGAGGAGACACACCTGAGATGAGTCGGGACAGCTGCACTTCGTGCAGCATGTTGGGGAGGCCATCCTCTTGGGCAGGGCAGGAGCCTGCTATGGAGTTTCCTGCCCCAATTCCACCCCATCAGAAGGAACTGGGCATGTGTAGGATGGAGGGCCCTGGAGCTGCCAGAGCCCTTCCCTTCCAGAGGAACCATCCCTGCCCTTGTGCACAGGAGTCCAGGCCCAAGAGATAGAGGAGCCCAGGGCTCCAGGGAGGTGGGTTAGTGACCATCTCCCTCCCTGCTGGCTGGTGTCCTCATTGGGAGTGGCTTCTTCCAGCCTATTAAAGTCCAGGCCCATGACCCATTTAGGGCAGAGTTTTCTGCTTGGATGACACTGGTCTCTGGTGCCTGGCAACAGCCTTAGTGGAATTCTGGAAGTTGATCCTCCTGAGCACTCCTGGAGAGGTCTTGTCTAGGAAGTGGGTGCTTGCTGATGCTGGCCACTCTCATGGCCACACAGGCCCACTGTCTTCCAGGTGTGGTCTGTGGACCTGCTCCCCATTCCCTGTGCCATGGTCATATAGCACACCCAGGGGGACTGTGTCATGCAGTGTCCAGACAGGAGACTGGGATGAGAAATGGGCACAACTGGTAGGAGCACTGGGGAACCCCATCTCCACCAGCTCTGCCCTGGGCACCCTAAGGACGTACCTCACTGAACTGCCTCATCTAGACTGACAGTGGCTCTTTTGGCAAAACCCACATGGGCTCTGTCCTGAGAGGGATGGGTCCTGCCTGCACAGCCCTGTCTGCACCTATTGTTCACCCCACACACAGCCCACGGCCACCTCAGGAGAGGCCGGGCTCCGTGCTCTGTGAGGCCTCCTCCAGCCTCAGCATTCTGGGATTCCACCTGAGGCATAGCCCAGCATTCAGAACCCTCCTCAGTCCTGGTTGCTGAGCATAGCCCTGGCCAGTTACCTGTGGTCAGGAGTCTGGTGGTTCTTGTGCCCTCAGCCCTGAGCCACACCCCACCCTCTTCTCTGGCTTGGGCTGCCAGAGCTGTCCAGGGGAGTCGGGAGTGTGAGGCCTGGGGCGGCTGGGCTCTTCCTGGAGCTGGGAGCAGTGGTGGCCTGGGCCGGTCAGCTGGACCTTGGAGACAGGGTAGGCACTGGCTTTCTGAGGCTGGGGTGGCTGAGCAACCTTTACTTAATCAAGATTTTTGTTTTATTTTTAAAGGCAGGGTCTCCTACCTGTGTTGCTCAGGCTGCCCTGAACTCCAGGCTCAGATGTTCCTCCCACCGCAGCCTGTCAAGTAGTTTGGGCCTGGCTTAAGTAATTTTTAAAGTCGTTCTTAGAGATAAAAGTTGCATGTGATGGAATCCAAATCTTACCACAGGGTTTGACAAGTTTTGCTGAGTGTGTGCCCCAGTGGGACCCCCCCCCACGCCCAGGCAGCTCCTGACCACTGTCTGCAGTGGAGTGAGACGTCTGTAGGCTGCCTGACACTGAGAGGACCAGGGCTCCTGGACTGTAATGCCAGAGTGCTCCTGCTATGCATGCTGGAGGCCCCCAGCGGCCAAGCTTCCAGATACATCGAGACCTATGGTCTCCTGTCTGGTCTTTGAAAACTCCCTTCCCCTCTTCTGGGCCCAGAAGAGGGGAAGGGAGTTTCCAAAGACCATACATGGGCTGGGCCAACCGGATAGACTGTGGATTCCAGGGGGGCCTGGCTGGTGGGGGCTTGCCCACAGAGCTGTAGTGGCTGAGTGCTGGCATGTAGGCTAAGAGGTCAGAGCCCTGGCTCTAGAGAGCTGCTTCCTGGGACAAGAGACCAGGCCCCAGGCCCTATTTGCTCATGTCCAGAGCACCAAGCCTGTCCACAGTAGGGTGAGCTGTTTGGCCTTCCCTACAGTGTGCTAGTGACCAGAGGTACGTGTCCTCATGGGGCAGAAAGACTGATGTACGAGGCCAGTACGTCCCTTGGGCTGGGTAGCAGCAGACATGCTGGCTGGCCTCCCCTCCCAGCTGCCTCAGAATCTGCCAGGAGTTCTGGCTCTGCCTTTCCCCTGTAGGTGAGCACATTATCAGGGTTCTCAGGCTCCCTGGCCATTGCCTGACCCCTCAGTGGACTGTCTGTCCTCACTGGGGTTGGTCAGAAACTGGGACAGTACTACCTGTCCTTGAGACCCTGTTGCCAGTGGCCCATCCAGGCCACACCTGGTTTTCCCACAAGCCACTTTTGCGTTCAGGAGTACGTTAGCAGGGTATGTCCACGGGAGGAACCAGGCCTGTCCTCCTGATGTTCGTAAGCACTGGGGGCTGGTGTGCGTGCTGGTCCACTGCGTCTTGCATGGCCACCCAGCGGCCAGGGTGAAGAGAAAGCAGGCCAGCACCGCCCCGGGGGTTTCTGAGACGGGTGGACTGTTGGTCAAAGAACCGTGTGGAGTAAAACCGCTTCTCTCTAGTTATTTTGGCCAAGTATGGTCTGGACGGGAGGAAGGAGGCCCAGATGGTGCACAGCAACTCACTCAGTGACAGCGCCCAGGACGACGGGCTGGGGGACCCCAGGCTGGAAAAGCTGTGGCACAAGGTACCCATCCATTTTTCCATGACTGCTCAGACCTGCCCTGATGTTAGGGTTAGGGCATGGGGGGTAGGTCTCAAGTTGTCGCCCTGCAAGGCCCCCGTCCCTTGCACGGTGCTCACTGTGTGGGGCCTCTCAGGAGAACACAGCTTTCTTGGGACAGTGCTGCTCTTTGTGATGGTTCTCTCCTCCCTGCAGCTCAGCCTCTGCTTCCTCTTTGGAACATGCCTGTGCTCTCTACAAAGCGATTCTTTTGGCTTATAGCTCTTAGGCTGAAATGTTAAGAACGTGCTTAGCAGCGTTATTAAATTGCACGGGTTAAACACACGGCGTGACTGCATTCTTTTCATTTATCTATTCATGGTGGTGCTGGGACTCAAACCCAGAGCTTCTCACGCTAGTCAAGTGCTCTACCACCAAGCTACCACCACCCCATGGCTGTGACCTCTGCCTTAATTGGCCTGCAGAGCTGCTGCTGTGGGAATGCACCTCAGCCTGGTGTGTGTCCATGGCCACACGGGAGTGGGCTGTCTGTGCTGTCTAGGAAGGCGGGTCTGCTGGGCTTGGCCTGGCATGCTGTTTGGGCTGCAGACCTCAGAGTGGGGTGCTGGGTGGGGCCAGGTGTTGGGGTGTGATGGTCTGGCGGACCTATATCAGGATGCTCCCTTGCTTTGGCTCCCCTTCCACCCTGGTTCAGAACAGCTTGTCTGGATCATGCTGATTTGGTTCAGGGATTGGAACTCTGCACCAGCCTGTTGTCCTGGGTTGTAGGGAAGGGGGCAAGAGGCAGATGGAATGGCAAGGTGACCAGCCCTGGGCCCCCCAGGGAGATGACCTTGCTGTGTTCACCAGCCACAGCCAGGAGAGGGAGTAGGTATGGGGGACCTTCCTCAGGGTCCTCCTCTCCTCACCTGGCCAGCATGGTCACCATGCCCCACCAAGTCTGGGCACACCAAGGAGAAGGGACCTTGCCCAGCAACAGCTGTTCTCCCTGGTTTGGGTTTTATTTTCCTGGTGTACACACTTGCAAAGAGTCTGGGGGCTTATGGAGGACAGAGGGATGGCACGCCCCACCAGGGGTCTTCCTGCTGGTCCCCTTCCCTCTAGGCGAAGACCTCAGGGAAATTCTCCAGTGAAGAGCTGGACAAGCTGTGGAAGGAGTTTCTGCACCACAAAGAGAAGGTGGCTGAGTACAACGTCCTGCTGGAGACGCTGAGCAGGACTGAAGGTACCTCGCCCGCCTGCCCCACCTGCACTGCCACACTGCTCCATGCAGTGACCTGCTGGGGGCCACCCAGTACCCTTGTCTTAGGTTTCCACCCAGTTTTGTGAATGGAAACAGGTTTGTTGTTGTTTTTGTTTAATATTTTATTAGTTGTTGATGGACCTTATTTTTATTTATATGTGGTGCTGACGATTGAACCCAGGGCCTCACATGTGCCAGGCAAGCGCTCCACCCCTGAGCCACAGCCCAGCACTAATGCTCCGCTCAGATGAAGCTTTGGCAGCAGCTCTGTGGCCACCCTGGCTTCCTCTCCCAGCAAGCAGGCAGCTGCTGCCTCCTGACTGGACAAGCCTTTCGCCCTCAGAACTCCCCCAAGTAGGGACCCTGAGAAAGAGCACATTGGAGGGCTGGTGGGGCTGTGCTGTCTTGGGTGGCCTCCAGGGCTCTGGGTGCACTGACGTCACCTGCAGTCACCATGGACCCAGGTGTTGCTGTTTGAAAGGGCCCATCAACTGACATCACTGTCCCCAGAGACAGCTGAGGAGCAGATGCTTCCAAGAGAGAACCTTTGAACTCTCCCAGGGGTGTGGTTTTCGGCAACACAGTGGTCCCAGCACCAGGCCCTCGGGAGGCCCTGACCAGGCATTGTGTTCTGATTCCACAGAGGTTTATGACAACGTCATCAGTCCTTCCGATCGGAGCCAGGTCAAGGACGACATCCTTCACAGCAAGCACGGTGAGCTGAAGGACAAGCTGCGCAGCATCAACCAGGGCCTGGATCGCCTGAGGAAGGTCAGCCACCAGGGCTACGGCCCCACGGCCGGTAAGCTCCGCACGCGACCAGCACCTGTCCACGGCTGCTGGCTGTAGCAGTGGAGGGTGCATCTGGCAGGTTGTGTTCTCAGTGCTTGGGGAACTGGCCCAGGGACCTGGGGCCCTTGTCACATGCGCTCCTTGACTATTAGAGAGGGGCCGGCCCAGGGTCCGCTTTCCCAAGCTGTTCATAAGCATGGGTGCCTCTGCGCTGCCAGCCCCTTCCCTGAAGGTGGAGTGGCCCCAAGGCACAGCCCCTCCCAACAGGCCTGGTGGCTGGCTTGTGGCAGCTCTTAGTGGGGGCTGGCAGCTCTCCACCAGTCTCTTTGTTCTGGGTTCTTGTCTCACGAACCCAAAGAATGGAACCCACAGACAAGGAAGAGTGAATGCTAATACAAAGATGTGGGATTTATTGGAGTGGGAAGAAAAGAGGCAGCTCTCCCACAGGGCGAGGGACAAGTGGGCTGGCCCTTGGGTGTGCTCATCTAGGGCTCTACGGAGCATTGGGTCAGTGCTGTTGGTCCAAGTTCTGCTGACCAGGTCTTGGAAAGGATCGGTGCTATTGGTTGACCATCAGTCTGAGCTTTCCTGAGTCAGGGTCTGCCCCCACCTGCATGCTCTTGGTGCATATTGGGCCAGGGGGCAGTGGGTCAGCCACCCTGGTTCACCTTGACCCTGCCTCACTGAGCCTCAGGCCCATGCCAGTGTGGCAGGCTCTACAAGGCACAGCCTGTGCTCCCTCCATGCCCACCGCGTCTGCCACCCCAGGACAGGGGCTTGGTTTCACTGGGACACCACCTGCAAGGCCTCTCAAGACGAGAGGCGGCACCCAGCACAGGGCGCATGTGTCCTGCAGGCCAGGCCCAGCTCCCCTTGGTTTTGTTCTACTTCTGCCACCTGCGTGCCCTTGGGCAAGAGTGTCACCATCTCTTCCCCACCTGGACACAGCCTCCTGTGGAAGTGATAATACCACCTGGCAGATTTGCCATTCCTGGGTTATTAGGAGCCAGAGGGCTTGGCCACAGTGGGCATGGTGGGTGGTGATGCTGACCCCTGCCCCACACCCCCCTCAAATGTCTCCTCATGCAGCTGCGTCCGGGCAGCTCCTTGGTTTCTCCTGCCCTTGCACTTTGTCCTCCAGCCCTCTCCCCACAAGCCAGGGCTCCCTCGGGTCCTGGGCAGGAAGGTCAGCCAGGAGGAGGAGTAGCAGGCACCATGTGGCTCACAGGCAGGCCAGGTGAGCAGAGGCTGGTGACCCATGCTGGGCAGCTTCACTGTATCCCCACGTGGGCCCAGCAAGGTCAAGGAGCCACCTGGTCTGCTTAGGAGCAAAAAGGTGAACAACCCAACCCCTACTCTGGACCTGTCTCTGATGGACAGCCCTGACCAATGCCAAGTAACTTCTGCACAGCCCCCAACCCACACTGCCTCTGAGAGGCATCCAGGTGGTTCCAGTCATGGACAGGGCAGCCCAGGTTCTAAGCCCAGGAGAAGTACCCTTCACCAGGGACCACATCACAGCCAGTCCTTTGAGTGACAGACTAGGTGCCCAGTGCGCCTCAGGAATGCTCTGAGCGTACCCAGGCTTACGTGTGGTTGTGTCCAAGCCTCAGCTGTGCGCTGACAACAGGCAGTCACATACACGTGTCCTGGGGCTGAGCAGGCTCTGTAGGCCCAGCCACACTGCCCCTAAGACACATGGCTCCTGCTCTCCTGCAGAGTTTGAGGAGCCCCGGGTGATTGATCTGTGGGACCTGGCCCAGTCTGCCAACTTCACGGAAAAAGAGCTGGAGTCATTCCGGGTAAGGAGGCCCTGCTGTCTGCCCCGCTGTGTGTCCACCTGAGTTCCTGTCCAGCTCTGGTGTAGGGCGGGGCCTGCATACTTGTATGTCTGTCCCCACCTGCTCCCTCTGGCCCTCGTCCCCTGCTGACTTCTGCAGCCCTGAGTCCTGGTTGGTGGCCAGGTGGGGCTGTGTGCACATGAACGTGCCTCTCAAGCCAGCTCAGCCCCATGGCCAAGGATGAGCCATGTCTGTGCCTGGCTGGCCATGCTGTGAGGAGAGGACCACTGGGGCACTGAGAGGGGAGGTGGCCGGTGTATTCAGTGGGACAGGGGCTGTGGGAGGTGGATGGGGCGAGGTGTCCAGAGAGGAGACAGTAAGAGGCTGCTCACCAAGGAAGGGGCTCTGGTTCCTTTGAGCCATGGGAAGCTAAGCAACTCCTCACTGCAGGCTGGCAGGTCACCCGAGGTGGGGGACAGGCCTTTGGGAGGGCTGCTGGTGCTGAACCAGGGGGCTTTGGGGGATTGTGGGGGCCCACGGGACTCTGTGTCGTCTGAGTGTTCAGGACGTGTTCCGTGTGTGCACCTGGGGTGGGGTGGCTAGGCCCAAAGGGGGATGACTGCCAGCAGGGAGAGCGGTCATGCACACCCGCCCTCGCGGCCCGGGGAAGAGCCCTTAGCCTCCGTGGGAGGGTCGGGTCGGTCACCCGTGGGGAGTGGGCCAGTGGGCCCTACAGAACTGGAGAGGGCCTTGGCCAGTTGAAGATGGGTAGGGTGACCAGGATCTGGGAAGATGGTGCAGGAGGGGTCGGGGGCTGCAGGGAGGGAGGGAAAGGCATACGCAGAGGCGACCGTGGAAGAGCTCAAGCACCAGGTGTCAGTCTGCAAATGGGACCTGGGGTCAGTGCAGTGAAGAAAGTGCAGATGGGGACCAGAGTCCCAGGGTGACACCGAGGTCCTCGAGGCCATCAGGCTCTGGTGGGGCATCCCTCTCCTTTGGAGACCCTTAGCTGTGGCACCGTGGCCACTCCCGCCCACGCTGCCCTCAAGCATGCTGCTTCATGACTGCCGGCCACAGCAGCCTGAGCCACTTCCTGCTGACCCGGCTCCCAGTGAGACCGTCCTTGCCCAGAGACAGGCCCTCAGGTGCCCAGGGTTACATTGGAGAAAAGTGAGTGTCAAAACCTTCCAGGAGGAGCTCAAGCACTTTGAGGCCAAAATCGAAAAGCACAGCCACTACCAGAAGCAGCTGGAGGTCTCACACCAGAAGCTGAAGCACGTGGAGAGCTTCGGCGACAGCGAGCACATCAGCCGCAGCAGGGAGAGGCACGCGCTGCTGCAGGGCAAGACCCAGGAGCTGGGCTACAAGGTGGGTGCCGCCTGGCCTGTGCCTGTCAGCCCACACAGGGCCGCCCCTACCCACATGGCCACCCCCTACAGGGCTGCAGGGCAGCTGCCCTGAGAGGCCTCAGGAACCCACGTGCATGGAGCCTGGCCTCCTGGCCCACAGAGTGCAGGCCCTTGCTGGTGCAACCCAAATCCGCCACTGCTGTGTCCTGTCCAAATCTCGCCGCACTGGGGCGAGACTGGGATGGTGCTGGAGGACCATTGGTGGACCCACAGAGCAGGCACCTTCCTCCCCCAGGAGCCATTCCCACGGGACACCCTGGGCGAGCTCAGTGAGCAGGGACGCAAAGTGGTATGGGCACTGAGGATCCAGCACCAGGCCCCGCGAAACTGGGAGAGACTTTGCACAGGGAGTGGGGCTCAGGCTGGGAGGGGACCTTTTACTGCCTGCAGGGTCTGAACCACAGGGCTGTGCTTCCTCCTCAAAATCGGCAAAGCCTGAGAAGTTAAGTCATGCAGAAGTGCCAGGAGGAGGGGCCTAAGTGGGGAGGAGCCAGGCGCCCAGTCGCCGGTGCCCGTTGCTGCCATCTGAGTGCAGGCGTTGGTGGAGGGCTCGCCTGCCAGGTGCAGTCCTGGCTTCCCTTCCTTCCACAGAGGGCAGTGCGGCCTTGGCTAGGAAAGCCTGTCACCAGCCAGGCCTGGCAGCGCACACCTGTGTCAGAGGCTGAGGCAGGAGGATCCCAAGTTCAGGGCCAGCCTGGGCAATTCAGGGAGCCCCTGGCTCTAAGTGGGTTGTGGATGTAACTCAGCAATAAGCACTTGCCTGGTGTGTGCAAGGCCCTGGCTTCAATGCCAGCACACAGCCGTCAGTTGTGCTGGGGACGCCAAGAGGAGACCTTCAGCCAGGACTGATGCTGAGCCGTGGCAGGGGACAGCCAGCAGGCGGGGATCTGTGCGAAGTGCAGAGCCCTGGGCCTGGAGGCGGGGGACGGTCCTGAGAGCCCTATAGCAGTGGGTCCAGGGTGAGCTCACCCTCCGTGCAGACGCAGCCCACCACAGCGTCTCCCACTCAAGCTTTTAAGAACAAGGTGGACGCTGGGAAGTCCTGTTCTGCTTGTCAGGAAGGTCTGCTTCCTGGGGGCATGAACTGAACAGTGTGTGATGAGGAGGGCAGGGCGCGGGCGTCTCTTCAGTGTGCTCCTGGGGTGCGCAGTCACCCTGGGTGTGGCACTCCTGCCCTTCTAGTCCAGCTGATCATGTCCCTGTTTGTAGGTAAAGAAGCATCTGCAGGACCTGTCCAGCAGGATCTCGAGGGCACGGCACAACGAGCTCTGAGAGCAGAAGCCCCCTGAAGGTGCCAGGGGCTGCGGTGGCATCACCTGCATGGACAGACTGGCCGTGATGATGGCAGGCTGATCCCAGGTGCCGTGGCAGGGAGGATGTTTCACAGGCCCAGCGGAACCAGCGTTCTCCCTCCCACATCTGGCCTGGCCTCTGGGTGGTAGCCTCCTGTGTCTCAAGCAGAGGTGGCCATCATCACCCTGGAGAGGACTGGAGTCCGGCGGCCAGTTGGACAAAGGTCTCGAGTACTGCTCGGTGTGGTCTGCATCAAGACCCTGTGAATCTTCCCCTGGAAACATGTACAGAGTCCTGAGAATCAGAGTGTGGTGTGTCCGTCGTCCCATCGTCGCCTGGTCTCAAGGTTTGTGGCCACACACTGGCCAGAGCCAGCGTTGCTCCACTACTTCAGCACTTCCCTAGGGCCCTGGTCTCCTCCTCCTCTGGCCCAGGTGGCCTCTGGTCCCCAGGTCTCTGCAGTCACTCTCTCCCCATGCCTGGAATGGTTTCGCCTTTAGAGTGGAGGTTCCAAGGCAGACGGCAGAGGAGGAGCCCAGGATCCAGGAGGAGGGCCTGAGCCTGTGGCCATGGTGGCTCCTTCTTCCTCTCACCTCTGCAGCCCTGGGGACTTGGGAGACCCTGACAGGTCCCCACACCCAGCTTCAGGGGGCGTGGTCCCCGTATTTGCGCCTGGAAGAGGCTGGCTGGGTCTGGCAGTGGCTAGGTCTCAAGAGTTGAGATCTGTCCCTCTGGAGGGTCACTTAGTCACAGTTGTAAGAAACAGAAGAGGGCGAGCCCGCAGGCCAGAGCACACAGGTAGCAGGGCAGAGCGAGCACAGCCCCTGGGCTCTGGGCAGTGCATAGTCTGCTCACCCACAGGCCCAGGCCAGCTGGGTGTGTCCCCTCAGGAAGTGCTGGGTAACAGGCTGCCCAGAGACCTTGGCAGCATCTGAGCCAGGAGGTGATTGTCTGCAGGGTCTCCATATCTGCCTGTCACACTCAGAGCCAGCCACATACTCAGGTACCCAGCCAGTGCCCCGTGTGCAGAGACTGGCCCTCGTGGGGTTCGCAGTCCAGGGTGTCGGGGTGCATGGCCTGACAGGGCTGGGCCTGGGACGTGGAGGAGCCAGAGGACACCGGGGTCAGTCTGCCCTCTACAGAGCCAGCAGCAGAGGGCTCACGTGCCTTTGAAGTGTGCAGGAAAAACAGAAGCTGCTTCTCCACGGCTGCTGTCCTACAGCCCCACCACGAGGGTCAGCACTGTGGCCATGTCCTTTTTTAGATTCTGAAAGAAGGAAAACACACCAGTGTGCACGCACACCTGGGCAGTCTCCCGAAGGGTGTGTAGAGCCTCCTCAGCATGAGGCTGCCCAGGTGTTCGCTCTCTTTTTCTGTCATTTTGACAAGATTTGCCAAGGAGCTTCGTCTTGGGTCTCCAAGTGGTTGGCATAAAATGCCCCTGTGTCCGTAGTGAAGTGCTGACCGTCGCCTGTTGGTGGGGCCCATGGACTTCTGCTCCTGTTACGCATTAAGACCCCTTTTCCTTGCCTGGGGCTGGCTCTGCTCTCCTTGCCTATGGGTCTCCGATGGAAGCGTGGCCCCTCGGTCAGGATGTGGAGGCCGATGCCCCAGGGACACACCCAGCAGAGGAGCGTCCACCTGTGCACATGGAGCTCTGAGCACTGGCCACGCCCCTGCCGGTGACCTTCAAAGTAAGCACACCTGCTACAGAGGTGAGCCGCATAGGTCACACCCTTGGGCCACTGTGCAGTTCAGGAAATCTGAAGCCAAATGACGGACCCTTTAGAAACTGAAAAGGCCACATGGGTCAAAAGATCACCTTTGAAATTGAGAATCTCCTCCAGGGGCTGTGGTGCGCACCGAGGAGGGGAGGACCCGGGGTCGACACTGGGAGGCCACCAGCCTCAGAGGCTGGGCGGGTCGCGGGGACCGACTCCCACTGGAGAAGCCATTAGCTACAGCAGACGATTCACATCTGGGGCAGTGGGGACTGTTGGAGGCAGCCCAGCAGGAGCCCAGCAGGAGCTCCCTGTACCAGGACTGGGTCCTTGCTCTGAAGGTGCTCTCTGTCCAAGCATACACGGGCTCTGGTCTTGCAGGCCATCAGGTCCCAACCGGCCTCAAGCGAGAGTCCAGGGGGAGGCCTGACCATAGGAGGCCAGGATCTTCTGGGGGTCAATACCAGACCCCTCCCCCACCCCGGGTGTCGGAGGGAGAAGGGAGTTTTAACAGGATCTGACCAAGGGCCCGCCCCAGCTGCCCCTGGATAAGCGCTACTCACTTGTGTAGGAGCCTTGACACAAGCCCAGTGGAGTGCTCCTGGCCGCCCTGCTCTGCCATCCTGCAAAAATAACCCTGAACAACCCTCAAAGAGTGACCTGGGTCCCGCTTCCCAGCCAAGCCCCATGGATCCTGGGCGGCTCCTGGTTGGAAATAACAGAGAGCAGCCGGCCCTGCAGTGAGGACTGGCAGGAAAGGCCAAGCTGCCGCTGACCTCTGCAGTGTCCACGGTGGCCCGTGATCTTGCTGGCGATCATAGATGGGACGTCCTGGAGGGTCTGTAGCCCTGGTGGCACCTCTGGACTGCAGAAGAGAGAGGAAGCTCTGGACTGAGGCCGAACATCCCGGGGAATGCAACTGGGCGTGTCTTGGGGGAAATTTAACTTTGACCGTCCGTCCACAGAAACCACGCAAGAAGGGTCCTGATCTAGTGAGATGCGCATTCACAGGAACTTGGGCGAGAGCCCTGGGCAGGGTCTTCAACAGGCCGCACAGAGAAGCCCAGGAGGAAACCCACGCCCAGGGAAAACTAAAACTGGGTCTCATCAGAATTTAAAATCTCTGCTTATCACGAGATGTTGAGAAAGTGGTGAACTAGAAACTATGGACATGTCCACTGCCTGAATCTGAGGGGACTCTGCCTACATAAAGGCCTTTGCAGCTTAATCTTCCAGATGGACAGGGAAGCATGCAGGCCCTTTTCCATGTCCACGTGGCCAGCACTGCGTGAAGAGGCGCTGGGTGTCAGCAGTTTCTGGGGGGAGGCAGTCCTCCGGTCACCACAGCCCTGGGCTGGACGTGCCTGGACGCAGCTCTCTGGTGCCATGTGCATAGTAGCAGGAGTCTGGAGACTGTAGGCCACTTGAAAATGAAATGCCGCCCTCTCTGTGACCTGCAGTCCACTGTGGCACCCAGCAGCCTGCTCGTGGTGGCCAGAGCTAGGTGGGTGGCCTGCAAACACGACAGCCTGGACGGAAGTCAGCATTTTCTGAGCTGGAAGAAGGCACCGCGTCTCCAGCAGTAGGTGCCAACGCAGTGGTCCCCCCTGCATGGGTATTGGCCAGGATGGTGCATAGGGACTGGCAGGTGGTAAGTCCCAACTGAGGAGTTCTCAGATCAGTGCACCCGTGAAACTAGGAGGTCACAAGAAGTGTCACAGAATCAGCTCTGAATGTTCAAATGCCTGGAAGAGAAAATAAGGTGCTCCGAGGTTAGAGGGTAGGGGGACGGTGTCACACCGGAAGAGCCAAGGACAGGCGAGTGAGGCTCCAGAGGGCAGCCAGGGACCCCGGGGCCTGCACAGTGGATTCCAGAGGGTGGAAGTCGGACTGACAGGCCACCATGGAAACAAGTCTCCAGAATGCAAGGTCCCGGGTAGCATGAACTCGCAGCTGAGGGTTTGAGAGCCGTGGAGGCGAAGACCGTTCCCAAATAACAGGAGGGGAGAGCTCCAGGCCAGCTGTCAGGACGGCACTCGTCCTCACAGTGGTCCCAGGGGTTCAAGGACAAACTGCAGCCCAGAATGGTGCCCCGGCCAGCAGTTAAGGGTGGAAGGAGTCAGATTGTATTTCCAAGCAATCTCAGACTGACCTACGTACCATGTCTTGGTTCGCTGCTCGGGAAGTGCTCCCTGAAAGACAAGTATTGGGGACCCACTAAAAGGAAGTCCACCCAGGAGAGGGGTCATGGGCCTCCAGGGCCTAGAGCAGCAGTGCAGATGGCGCCCAGGAGACTGGACAGAAGAGTCGCAGAGCAGGTTGTGCAGACCACCTTGGGGGGCCACACCATGAGAGGGCAGCGAGCGTCAGCGTGAGTGTGTGGGAACCGCTCTCAGGGGAACATGCTGAGCAGCAGAGGGGCACAGCACCTGCCTGAGTCACAGCGAGCACACAGCAGGGCGCCACCACAGGGAGGCCCACAGCACTAGGCCAGGGCTCCCGCTGGCCGTAGCTTGGACATGTTTTTATAGTGACAGATGCAAATGCCAGGGAATTGTGAAGCCGCTGGACGTGGGAGCGGGGACTGCTGACTCTTCGGTTCATGAGAAAAATACCCAATTACAAGACACGAGCAGGCGTGGTGGCCATGCCTGTGGCCCGGAAAAGGAACGGTGCTGGGAAGGTGTCTCGGTGGTAAGGCACCGGGGTGAGTCCGGGGCCAAAGCGCGCGGTAACAAATCACCATCAGTGGGGTTTTGTTTGGTTGGCTTTTAATTTTGTTTTGGGGCCTGGGGATTGAAACCCAGGGTGCTCTACCACTGGACTACACCTATTTTTTGAATCAGGGTCTCAAAGCTGCCCAGGTTGGCCTCAAACTTGAGATCCTCCTGTCTCTGCTTCTCGAGCTGCTGGATCACAGCATGGCCACGGGCCAGCTCAGGTTGTCCCTTGGTCCACAGCCTGTGCAAGAGGGCACGAGGCAAGGGAGAGGACATCCCGGCCAGGGAGTGCTCCTTCAGCTCCAGCCTCTGCAAATGTGCCCCGCCTCTCTGGCGCTGGCCATGAGGACGTGGAGGTCACCTTGGCCCTGATGGCAGAGCTTACGTGGACCTAGTCTTTGGGAATCTCCCATGCTCTGGTGCTGTCCACCTTTATAGTCAGCTAGGAGAACAAAATCTGGCAAAAATCTAGGAAAGTCAAAGATGTCAATCTTCCCAGCCTGGCAGATCCCTCGCGCGCCCACCTGGCCCTGCGGGGTGAGCTGCCTGCCCACATGGGGCAGCCGCAAGGAGGTTCCACTCAGCTGCCTTGTCTGCAACACAGAGCACCTGAGTGTCTAGGCCACGGTTGCACCTGAGCCCGCATAGAGGACAGGCCACAGGCCTGCTCTTAGACACCCTCATCGTGGGTCTTCAATCCACGTGAGACAGTGGTTACCCAGAGCGGCATGGGAATGAGCTGCCCTGCAGCTGGCATGGGTGTAGCTGGCGGTCACCACTGACGGGGCTAGGACACAGCCCCTCCCACTCCCACCAGTTCGTGGGGCTCTGAGCATGTTCTTTAGACCCAACTCTATTGCTCACGTTTGTCAGGTGAACCTCCTTCCCACCCCCCACCCCCAGCAGCCTGCTCCCCAAATAGCTGTGGCCCCGTCCCCTGCCAGGGTCCTTCATCCCTGCTCCGGCAGGCCCTCCTGGCCTCTCCTGTAGGCAACGCATGCCAGCTCAGGCCCACCTGGGTCCACAGCCCTATGGCCTTGGCTGGCCAGAGCCTCAGATGCCTCCTTATAAAGTGGCAGGATGCCAATTTCTGTGCTGCCCAAGGGGTCATGGGTATGAGCGGCTCTACCCAGGCCTGGGTGTCTGTGATGTGGCTGTCTCCCCTCTGCCTGGGAGTGTGATGTGCAGCTGGGCGGCCAGCAGGGGGCCAGAGGGCAGGGGTTCAGCTAGGCCTGGCCTGACCAAGGTGCCACAGGGAGGGGCTAGGCACACATGGGTCTGCAGGAGGGCTCCTGTGAGGCCGAGCTCTGTGAGGGAGGGTGACCTCTAGTTCAGGCAGCCTTAGGGAGTGCTGGGGACCCTGCCAGCCAGGATGGCCATTGGCGGCCAGAGCCATATGGCCAAATGCCTGACCTTCCTCTAGAGCTGGGTGGGGTCTGGAGCCTGACCTCAGGGTCCTCTCTGCAGAGCTCTTGCAGCCAGGAGGTGGCGCCAGGGCTCTCAGGTGACCATGGAGATCCTAGGACCCTGGCCTTTGTCTTGAGCCTGGGAAGGGGTCCTTGATGGAATTCCCAGCAGCAACTCTAAAAGGCCGTGGATGGAGGTGACGGTGCTGTGGACCAGGAGGCGGCCCTGCACACGGTAGTGGGAGGCCCCAGACAGGCAGAGGGTCCGCACTGGGCCCCCAGTGGACAAGATGGCCACGCTCATCTTGTAAGAAGATCTGGGCAGGGGCAAAGGGGATCTTCTAGGCCGGGCGCCTGTCCCCACCAGGGCCCCCCTCCAGCTGACCACAGTTGAGCTGCTTCCCCGACCTTGGCTTCTATAGCCCCACCTGCTCAGCCCTCGTCTGCTCGGGACGTGTGGGGCTGGCAGAGCAGGGAGGGAGGAGAGGAGGAGCACCAGCTGCTTTTGATCCCCATAGGACCACTGGGGCCTCCTGGGTGGGGAAGGGAGGGTCAGAAGAAGAAATGGGACCAAGACTGGCTGTGGCTGTCCTAGGGGAGCCCCTCACCCACAGCACCAGCACTGTGGGCTGGGGGCTCACAAGTCCACACGTGGAAACTTGCTGCCAGTGTCTGAATCACGGAATTGCCAGACTCCCCCAAGGCCATGGGCGCATCTGGAAGAAGTTCCCACGAGGAGACCCCAACTCAGCTCCACTAAGGGGAGACAGTTCCCTCCACCCCTACCCCAGAACCCCCAGCCCAAAGGCAGAAGGCACACATGAACCCACCTTCAGGGAATTACACATGTTAAAAATAGAACAGGACCCGGCGTAGGGAGCACATAATCCCAGCAGCTCGGAAGGCTGAGGCAGGAGGATCGAGAGAGACCCTGTCTCTAAATAAAATGCAAAATAGGGCTGGGGATGTGGTTCCGTGGTTGAGTGCCCCTGGGTTCAATCCCTGGTACCAGAAATAAAGAAACAACAGGAGAGTGTGGAACTTCATATGACACCGAGGAGCCCTGAGGTCGGTCAGTCCTACACAGGTAGGAGTCCCACTGGCACTGACCAGTGGGACAGCCCTCCTGTTCTTGCTGTGCCTCCATCCCAGGGCACAGGGCATATGGCCCAGCAGGTGGGACCCCTGGGGTGGCTCAAAGACCACACTACAGGGAGCCTGGGTTAGCAGCCTCAGGAGCTGTCTGCCCTGTCTAGGGACATGCCTTTTCCTGGGACGCGGCTGTCACCTGTCATCCCAGGCTGTGGAAGCTACTCTCAAACTCCCCTGGCAACTCCAGCCCCAGGTGCTAGAGGTGCTGTCAGGGGCCTGAGCAGCCTCAGCAGCCTGTGGTCCAGAGGGACGCGTCAGGCTAAGAGAAGGGTCAGCCCTGGACGCCAGTGAGGAGGGAGACCTGGCCAGAGGGAGGATTGGAATGAACCAGCGCGGGCCCAGGTCTTCCAGCTGGGTCTGGGCACGAGACCAGTCGTGCCCTCCCCTGCAGCTGGGAGGCCAGGAGTCGGCCTCAACCCAGCCCACAGAGGCCTGGGCCCCTCACAACGAGGGCTTCCCACAGAGCGCACGGCCCACCTGGCTGGGCCAGACGTTCAGCTGTCCAGGTCTGGGCATCACTGCTGGGCCCCCTTCCTCCGCTGCTCCAGCTCAGACAGCCGCTCCTCCCGGGCCTGCGCGTGCTGGGCCCCCACCCGGTGCGCCGTCTCTGTGGCTGCAATGTCGATCTGGGCGTAGTGGGCGGGGCCGGCCCCTGCGAGCAGCCCGCCAGCCGTTAGCAGAGAGCAGGCCAGGGCTGGCACCCGCCCAGCTGCCCAGCCCAGCCCGCAAGTGCTCATCCCCTCGGTGACAGGGGCTGGACGGGTGCCCTGTTGCCACTTCCTTCCATCCCACACCAGTCCTTCAGCCAGACAGGACCTGGGCCTGTGCCCACAGCCTCAGAGGGGCTCAGTCGGACATTGCTGAGGGTCAGGGCTGCCTTGGAAATGTCACTTGGGCACAAATAGGCCAGGGCTGATGTGCTGGGGTCAAGCCCTGAGACTGGCCCAGCTCTGTGGGTCTCCTGTGGGGACCCACCTCGGACGCCCAGGCCGGCCTCCTGCAGCTCCAGGCCCAGGTAGTGCAGCCGCTGTCTGGAGGAGGGGCTGACGGGGAGGTTCACGTAGGTGGGTGTGCTGCTGCGCCGCCTCTCCAGCCCCGGGCTCTCGGCAGCCGCAGGCCCTGGGGGTCCTAGAGAGGAGGGACGGGGAGTCCTCCAAGGACTGTGCCGACCCCAGGACTGTCCAGCAAACAACTGCCCCTCCTCCAACCCCCCACCTCTCCTGGGTCTTGGACCTAGCCTGACTCCCCCATTTCCTGGACCGTCCACCTCTGGCTGGCCCCCCATCCTGAGACCACCTGGCCTCCACGGATCCCCCGACACCAGCTCTCTGTGGGTCCCTCCACCCTCACTCTGTCCTTCCAGGCCTCTAAACCCCCCAGCACAGGCCAGGACCACGCCCCCGTCCTGTCCTCACCCGACCTCTGTGATGTCCCTCTAGGACCTCCTGCCTGCCACAGGCTCTCAGGACCCCTCTGGATAGGTGAGTCCCCGGGGGACTTTTCCTGAGTACAGCTGGGACAGAGGGACTCTCCATGCCAGGCAGGGAGGGCTTGTGGTTGGGTCCCGAGTTAACAGGCTGCTGGGATGCACCCTGGCCCCTTCTCCACAGGCCAGCGCCCCACAGGAAGGACCCTTGGCCACAGAAGACCTGTCCCCAGGGCCCCTGTGGGGCAAAGACAGCCACATGGGATGGGTGGACAAAACGCCACTGAAGGGGGTGGGCAGGTGAAGCCGTTCCCTCGCTCCATTCCTGGAGGGCCAGTGACCTAGAGGCACAGCCAGGCCCAGGACTCAGACCAAGGCAGGCCCTGCCCCAGAGCACAGCACCCCAGTCCCCGGATTTAGCTGGGGACTGCAAACACCGCAGTGGGCCTGCTTCTGAACCCTCTGCCCAGGAAAGGGGCCCGGCTCTGCCAGTCTCTGGCTGGGCTGCCTGACCATGTCCTTGATACAGGCCCTCTGGCTCCTGCTGTCCATGAAGTGCCACCTGGAAGTCCACACGTGGGCCTTGCCCTCCTCCCGATACTGCCCCCAGTGAGACTGGGGTGGATGTGCTGCCTGCTTGCTCCTGGGGGAGGCTGAGGCAGAAACCCCAAATTCCCAAGCCACACAGCCAATGGCCAGGACAGGACGGGGCCCAGGTGGGGCAGGTTGACCACCTGTTTCCACCTGAGCAGCCAGGAGTCCTCGCCCACCCTGCTCTGCCCAGGATCCCTGGGGACCTCTGCTGCAGCGGGACCCTCTCAGGACAAGACTCCTTTAGGAGGGCGTGCAAGCTCTGCCCGCCCCCGGCCCTTCCTCTTCCTGAGGCAGCCCACACCTGGAAACCTGCGTTCCTGGAGGGGTGCAGCTCCTGGAGGGGTGCAGCTCGGGGAAGGGCGCTTGCTCCACGCTGGAGAGCGAGCTCCCAGGAGCAGCCCCAAGCTGTCTGTGTCAGACGCAGCCTGCACTGAGCGGGGGCGGGAACATGGCCTCCAGCGGGGACTGGACTCCCCCCACCCTGATGCAGCCCTGGGCCAGACAGCAAGGAAGAGACCCCCACTCACGCCCACCAAGGCTCCAGAGCAGAGAGCAGGAGGGCAGAGCCCGGGGCAGACTGCCACGCTGTGTGCAGGGGCACCAGGGGCCTGAGCAGAGCCGGGCCTCAGCAAGAAAGGGTGGCTTCTGCTCGTCATGGTGACCACCTCATGGGAGTCCTGGCCCAGCAGACTGGTCCCCTGCTGGAGATCTGCTTCCCAGGGGCAGGGAAAGTGCTCACAGGACCTGAGACAGGAAGCTGGCTGGCTTGGCGGGGGCAGCTCAGTGTCCTTCGTCCTTGTCAAGCAAGGCCGGGCTGAGTGTTTCCATTCTCAGAAAACCTGACCCAAGGTGAGGGGTTTCTGTAAACCCTCTACATTTGTGGAGCGGGGAACTCCATCTTGGGCACAAAAGTCTCCTCCTGGGACACCAGCAGCCACGGAGGGAGAGCCAGGGTCAGCTCGCTGCCTGCCTAGCCGAAGCCCTGCTTGCCCCCCCACCCCCAGCTTCGAGGACAGGCTGGGCCACACAGCCCCACAGCTGCCGCAAACCATCCCCACACCAGGGGCTGGACCCAGCCTTCCTTGGAAGAAGGGCAGGTGGTCTGGAGAGGGCGGCTGAGCTAAGGGGTGCAGGCTAAGAAGGGGTGCATAGCAGGAGGGCAAGGGGCCTGTGGGCAGGTCTATTAGAGGCCAAGCCTGGTCTCAGAGCCTTTGAGGGCCCCAGAGCTGCCCTGCCCCTCACTAAGTCCCCAGGATACATGGCCTCCCCGGCAGGTCTCCCTTTCCCCTGGCAGCTGGTGACCCCTCGGGTCACTGCTTCCCATCTGTTCTCTGTCTGCTTAGGGCTTAGGAGCCAACTGCCCCAAGGCTGTGAGTCCCGAATCTCAGACCACGGTCCCGCTGCCCATGGGCTGCCCCAGCAGTTGCTGCTGAGAGATGCCTCCGCCATGCCCAGGGGCCACCTACCTGGGCTCCCCCACTGCCCCCTCCTGTGCAAGGACTCCCCCACTACCCACTTGCACCCGCCGTCCAGGGCCGGCCAGCCACATACTGCCCTGCCCACCAGGCCTGACTTTCCAGCTGGCCTGTCAGCTGCCCGTCTAAGGCCTGTTTCCCTCTCACAGGGGCTGTGAGGAGCTGGACTCCAAAGCCAGGTGCCTACCTGGATGGGTCATCGTGGGTCCAGGGGTTGAGGCAGCCGCTCCCTAGACCAAAAAGAACACTGGTCAGTGTGTGCATCTGACTCCCTTCATCCTACCCCTGGGCCCCCAAAACCAGGACAGAAACCCCAAGAGGGACAGGTCAGGGGTACTGGGCTGCCTACAGGGTAAACTAGCCTGGGGGCAACTCCTTCTCTTCCAGGCCCTGGGATCCAACTGCCCACTAGCCCTGACTGCCCTGCTGGGTGGCTCTGAGTGATAGCCAGCAAGGAGGCCTCAGGCACTTGGGGACAGAGGCACTCTGAGCCGACTGGCCAGTATAGGACCCCCGGGGCAAATCCAGTCCCCACTGTGGCTGACGATTTAACTGGGACACATCAGCCATCTGGGGCGAGCAGAGCTGAACAGCTGCGGCACAGACGCGGGGTCTACAGCGGCCACACTGCACTCTGGCCTCAGCCTGCGGCCCTGCTCTCAAGAGCTCCTGGTCTAGAGAGCCACCTGGAGCCCCCAGTGACGTGAGCAGCCCCTGGATGGGCAGTGCATGGCCAGGGTGCAGGCAGACCTGGGAGGAGCTGCGGCAGGTGGACAGGTGAGGCAGGAAAGCCACCACACCAGACCCCACTTCCAGCTGCAGACACCCTGAGCCCTCAGGGAAAGGGCCCTCTGGGTCCAGAACCCCAGCCTAGGTGACCAGAAAGATCCCACATCCCTAACCCTCTGAGTGGGCAGCCTGACAGGAGGGGAAGCTGGAAAGCAGGCCAAGGCACCCAGCGCTGGCCCAGGCCCATGAAGTGGGTGGTCTCAGACCCAGGCTAGAGCCATGCCCCTGAGTGAGCTGACTGGCCAACTGCACCAGCTGCTGTGGGCTGGGGCCTCAGGACGAGAGGAGCACAACGGGGACAAGCACAGGCAGGTCACCTGCTCCCCACACCTGCAGCCAGGGCAAGTGCATCTGCCCGTTGGATGTCCCAGCCCTGAGAAGCCCCAGCCCACCCGTCACCCTCCCATGGGTGAGGAGCCAAGTGGTGGCTGGCTGCTGTTCAGCAGCGGGCAGAACCTTGGGCAGCTGAAGACCGGCCAGCCAGTCTCCCAGGGACAGGGAGTGAATGAAGGCAAGGTCCCTGCTTCGTCCTGAGACCCCAGCCCTGCCCTGCAGGTCCCCTAGTCCTGGGAAGACTGAGGGACAGTTGAAGGGGCACCTGGGTTCCACAGGGCCTCGAGGGTCAGTGGACCCTCCCTCCTGTGAGTGCCCTCCAGCCCAGCCCCCACCTGCCCAGGACCTCAAGACAGCTCAGGTCTCCTCAGACTAAGGGTGGACACGAGAGGCCCTGGCCAGACTCCAAACTTCCACTCCCTCCCCACGGCTGGCCGTGAAAGACGGGGCTCAGGGGCCACAGCAGCCAGGACCAGGGCTGTGGCAGAGAGGGCCCCAGCTCCCCAGCTCCCCAGCCTGGGAGACCCATTTTTTTCTGCAGGAAGACCACCCTGGTGCCTCCGGGCAACTCCTGTGACCTCCAGTGGACCCTCAGTGCAGCCCAGTGAGGCAGGCCCTGTCACCCCATCAGAGGAAGAGGAAACTGAGGCTCAGAGAGGTGCCGTGACTCGCGGGGCCACCAGCCAGCAGATGGCGTGTGTGGTCCGAGCTCAACCCCCATGCTGTCCTTCCCAGGGGCCGCGGGGGTGAGCCCACTCCCCACGGCAGAGCAGGCTCGACAGAACGGGCAGCGGAGGCAGAGCCCCGAGGAGCCCCCACGCCAGACTCACGGGCCCCGGAGGTCAGCAGCCTTCCTCACCTGGGTGCTGGGAGCCCCGTCCTGAGGCCCAGGGGCTGCGAGGACCCCACTGTGGTTCCCAGTGAACCTGCAGGAACGCGCCACACGGCACACAGCCGCACACCTTGCACACCCTCCACACACCCAGGCCCAGGCTGCCGGAAGCCCCCCTCCCCGCACGCTGCACATCCTCGGGCCTCAGCTGCACTCTGAGGCTTGGGTTCCCTAGCGGGGAGGCGGGGAGGCGGGGAGGCTGGCCACACAGAACAGACGAGGCAGTAAGAAAAGAAAGTTTTATTTCCAGTCGGAGAACGTATACAAACAGTGTCAGGTTTAAAAAGCAGAAGAGCAACAACAGGTCAGCCGAAGAGGAGGTGAGAGCCAGGCTTCCAGGCAAGCTGCCCGAGGGTCCGGCCCGCTGTGGACGTGCAGGACACAGCCTCCAGGGTGTCCAGAACAGCGGGCACGGGCAGCCTGGCGCTGGAGAGCAGGGCCGGGACAAGCAGCCACAGCACTGAGCCCAGACGGCCTGGGGCACCTCCAGCGGGCCCTGACCACCAGCTTCCTGGTCCCAGCAAGAGGGCACGGGGGCTTTTGTCCACGTTCTGAATTTATTTTAAAGTTTATTTGTTGAATGATCCACTCGTTTGCTTACTTGTTTTGCGGTGCCCAGGGCCCTGCAGGTCGGGCAGGTGCTCTACCTCTGAGCCACACCCCACTTCCCCTGGGGACTTTCAAAGGGACCCTCTGGAAGCTGACCTCAAGAGCCTGCGCCGCCTGGAGGACTAGGGCTCCACTAGCCTCTGCCCTGCCACCTTTGCCCAGAGCCTGCCAGAGCTCAGGAGAGAGCAGAGGGGGGCCCAGACTCACACCCCAGAAGCCAAGGAGCCTCCTGAGCGTCAGTTTCCTCCCCGGGGCGGGACGCGTGCCCCCCTGTGGGTGCTGCCAGGTAAATATGAGAAGTGACCGAACACCAACGGTGCCCAGAGAAGTTCCCCTGCAGAGACGGGCTCCCGGGACTGGTGTCCCCAATGCCGGGGGGCGGTTTACAAGCAGGGTCTGTGCACTGCAGAGATGACCCGGAGTAGGAGGGAGCAGTGGTCATCCAGGAGTGAGCAGGGGGCCGGATGAGGTCAGTCCTCAGCAGCAGCCCTGGCCACTGGGCGCCAGCACCACCTAAAGCCCCAGTGCCCGATCCTCACTCGAAGCTGGGCCTGGGGGCTCTGCCGACCCCGCCCCCCCCCACCAGAGCCTCGCTTTCTAGGACACACGGTCCAAGTTGGCCCCTCCACGGGCAGCCAAAGCACCTCCTGGGGGAGGACAGCGGGACGCTGCCCACCCCACCCTCTCCACAGGTCCAGGGGCTTCTCAAAACGCGTCGGAGCGCTGCCTCTGCAGAGAGGCCCACTCCGCCTCCTCCTGTCCAGGGGCAAAGTCCAGCCCCTCACAGCCGCGGGCCGCCCTGCGGTCAGGGAGGGGGGTTTACCTTGAGTCCTCCACAGACTGGACATGCCGAAAAGAAAGCTGGAGGTGGCCCGGGGTGGGGCCCGCCTGCTTCCCAGGGCTCGCCGGGGGCTGGGCTGGGCAGTGTGGCCTCACTGCCTGGGGCCTCTGTCGCCTGTCCCCGCCGTCTTGTGACCAGCCAGCCAGAAGGACACCCGGCCAACTCCTGACTGCCTGAGTCCGTGGTCGCGCCGTGGTCAGGGCCACCCTGGGAGGCTGCGCTCGGGTCCCGGGGGGCCTGGCGCAGACTGCGGGGCGTGTCATAGTGGTGCCGCAGAGAGCTGGGCACCTGGTACTCCGCCACCCCGGGCGGGCAGGCACACAGGCTGGGCTCAGGAGCCCCTGCGGCTGGCGGCAGGCTGAGCCGCGAGCCGCACTCCTCGCCGCCCGCCCGCCACACGTCCAGGCTGCTGTCCGCGTAGGACGAGAAGCTGCCCGAGTAGGAGGAGTGGCTGCCCGTGGCGATGCCGCTGTCCGAGGAGCTCTGGCGGCCAACTTCCTGCAGCTGCCGCGGCCGCAACGGTTTCGGGGGCAGCCTTGAGGCACCCAGCGTGGCCTCCCCGGGGGCCTGGGCAGCCGCCAGCCCCGGCCCCTCCTGTGCGGAGCCTGCCAAGGACGAGGACTGCTCCGGCCACGGGGTGAGCCTGCTGCTGGCGCTGGTGTCTGAGTGGCTGGCCTCGGAGGAGGAGCTGGATAGGCTGCGGTCGTCCCCTAAGACAGAGCAGGGCTCTGAGGTGCTGAAGGGCACTGGACAGTAGAAAGCAGCACCCAGCCTCCCTCCCCACCCCTTCCCTAGAGCCCATGCCTCTGCCTGCCCCTGCTGGACCAGAAGTCCCCTGAGGACAAGGACGTGCCTGGGACTCCCCCCTGCTGCCCTCCTGCATGGCCAGGCCCCTGCCTCCCCTAGTCTGTGCCCCTGGGCAGCTGAATCCATCTTTGCATCCTCCCATCTCAGCTCAGCCAGGCTGACATCCAGGGCTCCAGAGTGAGAACCCAGGGTGCCCCCAGGGGGGGAGGAAAGCTCATTACAACCCTGGGCTCCTGCTCAGGGGGAGGCCTGGACAGGAGGGGACAGGCCCACTCTCCCTCTGTTCATCCCAGAGGACAGGCAGCAGAGGGTAATGGTAAGGCCACCAGAGCACCCATGCTCTGGCCTGGGAAGACTGGTGTGGCCACCTGCCAAGCTGGCCACCCTCACTGGACTGCCCACCCCTCTGTCCATCTCCTGCCACCGTGGCTCAGGAGGAGCCTTGCTCCTGCAGCAGCTTCCTCTGCCCTGGAGACTTTGTCTGAGCACAGACCTTCAAAGGAACGTGCAGGAGGTCTGCAGCCAGCACATGGTGGGCAGGTCCCCTCAGCACCTGCTGCCAGCACTTAACAAATATCCATGGGGTAGTGAGTGAGCGAGTGGGTGCACAGGAGAGAGAGGGAAGGAGTTAGCAGGAGGGAGAGGCATGGGTAGGTAGATGGGTGGGTGGATGGATGGGTGGGTGGATGGATGGGTGGG